CTACTTATACAAAATTAAATAATACAATGATTAAATCATTGAATAAATGGATGGGGGGGGGGGTGCAGACAAATTCTACACAATCATGATGAAGTCCACAAATATTTGAGAATTTTATTTTGCCCATGTCACTTAATAAATCAATTATACTTTTATTATCGTTACATCTAGAGGATTTTCTATATTTTAACACCAAAAGCAGCATTACATCATTTAGTGAAAAACCACTGTCGATGGACCAAACTGTCAGAAGACTTGAAATTAGATAAACCAGTTTTGTCACATTTACAGGCCCTGTTCTGTCTCATGTTGTCTTCAGAAGAAACTTGGGACTGAAGAGGATGCACAAACATGACAAAACGTATTTCTACAATTTCAAGTCTTTTGACTAATGGTTCCATTTATAGTTGTTTTAAACTAACTGCTACATATATGTAGAGGTACTTTTGTTTTAGTTTTATCTGAATATAGTTTAACACTTGAATTTCACTTTATTTTGAGGCTAACCATAAAATACTTCCAAAAATATTCAGTTTACTGTACATACCTTAGTTCAACACACACAGAAACCTTTTTAAATTTTTTTATTTAAGCCTTTTTAAAGGATTTTATGAAGTCAAATAATCCAAAAATGTATATTTTAGGCTCCTGTACAATTATGTTTACAGCAATCAAGGTGAAAATTGGCACATATACAAATTTTCATGTGCCTAACAAAATGGCATACCAAAAAGTTGGATTTGACCATATAGGAGAAGGGGGGGGGGATATAACAAAAACACATAACTTTTGGTCAATCACTTGGCCATATTTGACCAATTTACATTGCTTTGGTCCCAAGAGACTTTTCTACAAGTTGCACACATTCACAAACAAAAATGGTGGACTTACCTATTTTTAGTAATTATAGGGGAATCCAGATGCCACAAAGAGCATAATTTTAAGGCTTTTTGGCAAATACTCTGCCACATATCTGCCAATTTATACCTGATTTGGTTCAAAGATACTTTTTTATAGGTCTCATACATATACATACATAAATGTGGATATCCTCATTTCGGGGAAGAGGGGTAAAAAGGTTAAATAAGCCAATAATTTTAGGGATTTTGGTCAATTACTTAGCCTTGTTTCAACCAATTTACGTGGAATTTGGTACAAAGATAGTTTTTACAAGTCTCAAACAGAGATATAGACAATTTTGGAATTTGGTCTTTTGATCAATTTTGCAGTAAGGAAAGTATAATTTGGGGTTTTCATGAACTATTCATGTGTATGTCAACCAATTTACATAGGATTTGGTACAAAGATACCTTCTTACAGATCCCAAGCAATGCTATAGACAGTTTTTGATTTTCCTATGTTTCACACAATTTTTATGGTGTCAAGATTGGCCATATTGGGATTGCATGGTGGAAACACATTGCATTAACCCACAAATGTTGTCCTCTTTAATTGAAAACGTTGATGGATTTTTTTTTTTTAATAAGAAACTGGTTGTAATGAAAGTAGGTGTAACATTGCTACAGTCTGATTACCGTTCCTCTTTTCAGTTTCTTACTCATAGTCTCATATTACTCTTGGCCATTCTCTGATGAGGTCAGATCTTAGCTTAATTTCAGTGAACAACATATAACCACTGTTGTCATTGAGATTTGTCCATCAAAGAATCTGCCTAAGAAGTGACTTATCCAAGACTTAGGGGGTAGGTTTAACAGTAGTTTGAAATGGCATTACTCTCATGAAGTTGTTCAACATTGTAAAGACAAGCAGCACTTATCCCCCTTCTGTCACCCAGCTAACTCTTTGCTCCTTCTCAGAAATAAAAATCACAGAAATGCCAGTGATTAGAACTTAAGAGTAAAGATATTGAAATATATCCTTCCTTCTTTGCAAATTGTATATATTTTCTAACCACATCACAATTTATTAACAACACAGTGGAAATTTTATATAAGGATATTATTTAGTTTGGTGTATCACAGCTAAAGCACGGAGTTAAAGAGAAAGTACATGGGTGCACGTGTAATTCCACAGAAACAGATTTTGTACAGCAGATGATGAATATATAAAAATGATAGATACTAAGGTAGGTGAATATAAATTCAGAATTATAGAACTAAAAATTTGGTTAAAATTGCAGTTTAGCAGCCTAATTCCATATTGATATTCGGGCAGTAAATATTGATTTGTGCCATGTGATGAGTTAAAAGTACAATAACTAATTTTATAGATTAGAAAGCCAGTGGAACTAAAATTTTATTGGCCAAACTTTGCTGTATCAAAACCTGTATGTATTCAGATCTGATTTTTAGCAAATTACATATTTCTCACAATACGCTTAAAATTTAACGACGTTGTGTATGACAAGTATCACAAAATAATACACATATAAAATTACAACAGATAATGGGTAAAAGTACTATGTAGTCTAACAACTAGTTGTTAATACTAATATTATACTTTAAGTGTAAGTTGTAACATAAACATAAGCTAAAGTTCACCAACAATGTCTCCACCGCCACAAAAACAGCCGTACTTGTACTGTTTTGGCACCACTACTAATTACTAAGTTACGCTTAAATTACGAGTTTAGTTATGACTTAAACAGGCCGCTAAGCTGCAATGTTAGTTTTATTACCAAAATTTGAAATTAAATTATATATATATTTAATTCTACATTTACTGACGGTTTAATTACTTACGGTCAACCAAGTCAAGTTCACTCAGTTTTGCTTTATATTCTTTCGTTCCACGCTTATTTGGCATAGTGAACTTTCTGAAATTTCTTTTACCGTACAGCGCACAACTTTGAGAAATACATCTTCGTTGATTAAAGCCATTGGTTACATTAGTCAGTTTTAAAAACACCCTAACATTCGCACTCGACGCCATAAGCCTATATTCCTAGAGACAACGTCGCCCTCACAAGTTTTGTTTTAATACTCAAATATATGCTTTATTTTTGTTATTAAATAAAAAGAAAAAAGCTAGAGAAAATTGTTTTAATTTAAAAAAAAAACATAGTTCAAGTACTTACAGGAACAAATGGCCATTTAAATTTTATTCTAATGTCTTAATAATTACGTAAACAAATAATCTATCTCTAAGCTTTGAACATTCAACATCCAAGTTCCAAATTTCTATTTAGCTTATTTCAATATATGAGTAAAATTGAAGAAACATTTTGGTGCGATTCCTGTTGGTGCAAATATCAAATAAAACGCCAAAGTTCATTTTATTATAATGGAGCTTGTGATGTATACATCCAAAACTCTAATCTCGGAAACTACCGCACCGATCATCGGTCATATTTTTATAATTAGGCAGTATTTTTTATAGCTGAGCAATAAATATAACAATTACAATTTCCACAAAAATGACATGTTTCAGATTTGACTAACAAAATTACAAACAAATGGAGTAAGTTTCAGATTTAACCAATAACAATTACAAAATAAAGAGTAAGTTTCAAATATAAAACAATCAAAAAACAAACTTTAAAACATATTATTTATTAATAATGGCTGGAGACGGTTTAAATGGGTAATGAAGGTACCTGATGATGACAAAACCTTGTCGAAACGTTGTACATTTGCTGTCATGTTAAACTTATATTAAAGTTTTTCTCCATTACCCACTTAAGCCGTCTCCAGCCATTATTAGTCCCAAAGTGGGTTCCTCGACATCGAATATTATTTATTTTTCTTTAGTGAAAATCTCATGAGTGTTGCAACAGAAAAGCAAGGTACTTTCATTGATAACTGCATCTACAAAGAAATACTTGAATAAAATCTATTCTGTGATGTAATGTTGTGATGATAACTCATTTTTAAACTAAAATTTCAATAAAATCTTTCTTCTCATGGATGGTAAACATTATTGAATGTCAAATATAAGTACATTGTTGTAGAACTGTCAGACATTTCCAAAAAAAGGCTGCAAACCCAATAGCCTTCCGTATGAAAGGAAGTAGCAATTATATCTGTCTGGAGGGCGGGTATCTGTGCAAGTAACTTATTGTTGCCTCATCGAGATCACGTGACTATTCTTACGCCCTCTACTTTCTAGAACTATCCTGTACTTTGGCGAATGCTCTAGCATTTACTAGGTATAGGGTAGACTGGTATATAAAAGAGGGTGACAACGTGACGGTAAGGTAATGTGTGTGTAGGTAGTGAGTAATTGAACCGCAGTCACAGGGTATTGTTGAAGTTAACGTTCGTTCGTTATAGTGTTTGTTTTAGCGCGAATATTGAAATTAAGTGTATCGTAAAGTTCTATTCGGAAAGAATAAACCAGTTTTATTAAGTAAGGACTTGTGTCATTAAAGTTTCGTCGGAACGAAGTTACGGAAAGTTAATTAACAAACGGGGACGTAATATTATAATAATGGCTCCTTGGAAACATTAATCTAAAATAGATAATAAAATAAGTTTAATGTAAATTAGCTTTACTTACTATTTTATATTGAAATGTATATTTTATGTTTTGTAATAACTTGGGTGTGTGGCATTTTCATTGGGATAATATATGAGCATTTGATTTCTTAGATTTAAACTTTATGAATTTGCAGAGCTTTAAAAGTCTGCTCTACTAAATTACAATAGAATTTTCTAAATTATTCTTGGAATTTATGATTTCAAGTAAAGAAGAGTACATAATAATATGGCAACCACGCTATATCTGCTATATCTTGTGATTAAGACGGTATTTATATTTTCAAAATACATCAACAAGGTTTTACGCAACAATTACCTTTCTAGTACTATATATTATGACTGTGATATAAATTAACGTCTCTATTATTCTGTTACTATGCATTGAACAATTATTAATTTTATAACTTGCATTTACCTCATGGCTATGAATTTACTATATATATGTGTGTATTTATTGGCTGTTAAGCATAAATAGGTTATCTGTGATCTACCCATCGCGGGTATCGAAATCTGATTTGTAGCGTTTTAAGTCTACAAACTTACCACTGAGTTACTCGGGGCTACTGTATAAGATATTACCTAATCAAGAGTAAAGCTGAGTTACTCGGGGCTACTGTATAAGATAT